GTCAAATCTAATGCTCGGCGGTGATTTGATGTTACCTTTTAAAAGTAGCTGGAAGGTTTTGTTGGGTGCAAAAGTTAAGCGATTACGTTCACCCCATTGAGATATCAAGTTCAAACATCTATTGGCTAATCTCTCAAGCCCCGCCCTAGTATCAGATTCCACCAGTAATAAGCCGTCATCAGCATACGCGTTCAGAGTACATCCGGATGGTATTGGTATCGCAAGAAAATCGTCGAAGCCGATATTCCACAAGTATGGACCTAGCACCGATCCCTGAGGACATCCCATTGTAAGCGCCTTCGACACAGAATGATGACCAAGTCTTAGTTTAGTTGTACCTTGTGAAAAGTACGAAGAGATAAGGAGAGAGGTTAGAAAATTTTGTGGGGTGACGGTCCGAGGGGATTTCCAAACGTTAAAAAAAAAAAAAAATTCCTTCTCTCTGCAGTGCTGTTGTTCTGCGTAGTTTGCTCCCTTAGTCGCCTCTTACGACACCCACGGGATGAATAGGGGTGGTGACAGTCTGTATTCTTAATCCGTCACCACACGGATACACCTGCAACAATATTTAAAAAAAACGAGAAAGCGCATGTGGGTTTTGTTTCTTTCTATAATTACAACATGTGGGTATTGTGACTAATGTATGGAACACTCTTATTTCAAAATGTTTTCCTTTTTTGTAAAATGTTGTTTTTCCTTAAATGAAATATCGATTGGTTATTGTGATATCAATATAATATTTTCTAAATTGTGAACAATGAATAAAAATTTTGAAGTAAAATATTGTACGTCTCTTTCTCTACCTGGATAGTTACCATTGTATAATTATTCAATGCAAAATATAAGATTTCAGTAAGTTGTCATTAGTTTTGAATTGTTCCAGGTTGTAACAACAAAAGAGTGATAGAAATGTTTAATTTAAATTTACAAAAATACGTTACAAATGTAATGAAATTTAAGAGCAATGACACATTTTACCGTTGCGATTATTTTTTAACAAGGCGGTTTTTGCAGCAACATTATTACATGAGTACGAATGCGTGTTAAGTAATTTTATGCAGAAGAGAAGTGATGTTGTTAGGTTGATGTTATAGATTTATTCGTGTTATCTTTAAAATCGACACTTAAATAGTAATGACGGCATTATTATACATCATACGTAACGGAACTCCTAAAATACTTACTACTACTTACTCAGTCTAACGTATTATTACTATTAATAGTTGGGTTTCGTGCAAATATTCACTAAGATCTCTATTTCCGCAGAATAACGTAAAGATGATTTAGTCGCACTAACGTATGGGCACGCCGTTTGCTGTCAAGAAGACAAATTAAAATTAAGAAAATGTTATAGGGATATACTGAAAGTGGTATGGTTTCATCAGGGGGTACAAGAAGAGGTGAGAGTGTAACACTAGCATTCAAGTCATTAGTTAAAACTAAATCTAACATCCTATTGTTTTTATTTCTAAAACTATTTATTTGGCAGATATTACGCAGCGACATTAAGTTAACGAAGAATATTAACAGGGAAAGATAGGTAGGGTTGTATATACAAAAAACATGTAAATACAAAATTTAGAAAGATAGGTAGGTAGGCTGGAAATCAAGAAAATAATCGAAACAAAACGAAGTTTTATATCAAGTAAGGACATATGGAACAGATTGATATAGGTACGTTATTTCGTTGCAACTATTGACTTTTAAAATAATATATTTGACACATAACATATATTTAACATACTTTTTAATTTCATTAACACTATCATAAATTATTTTCTGATAAATAGTTTTAATTACTAACAGATTAATCCATATATGAAAAGTTAATGAATAGGTATAACAATTAAAATAAATTGAAAACAAGGATAAGTTATCGAGGAAAAAGTTTTTTTAATTACTATAAAAGTAAAACGAATATTTTATACTTTTATTTTAGCTGTCAATATGCGATGGAGCAAAACCTAAAGCAAAGCTCTATTGCTACTTCCCATGAATTAGATATGCCCTAAGAAAATACACTACAAATAAAAGTATCTTCTTCTAATCGCAGCTTCAGATTTAGTAGAAGAAATGGAATCTTATTGAGATTCTAATCTTAGCAATAATAACTTGTTTTATCTATTCAATTAAAAAGTACATTACTAATGTTTTGTTAAATTGTTATACACTCGTAAGACTAGGTTAACTTTTATTCATTTGAATGTCCATCTATCTGAATAAAAATTAAATTATTTTAAATCGTTGCCAGAATTCCTTTGTTAATGTTAGTTATATCAGATAAAGAAACCTTTGGTATTGATGAATTGTCATTTCAATTAAACAAATGAAAAAGGTGATTAACTCTTGCTCTTTTTAACACGCTTATTAGCTTGGTATGTATGTATCTAAGTAACGGAATCTTTGAATGTGATTGATGATACGCCTTAGTTCGTAGCAAAAGATGAGGTATAGAGGTATGGAAGAGGTATGAAAAATGCCGTTAATTCTGAAGGTTCCGTTCTGTTCTGGTCTTTGATAAGTGTACAAAGTTTGAATTCAATCCGACGTTTTAAAGTAGGTGATGGTGTACTTGTTACTTTTTTAGTCTTAACTAGCTGGTGCCCGCGACTTCGCGGGCACCAGGTTCGCGTGGAATTTGAAAAGCGCTGCCTTAGTGGGTTCGATTCCCGGAATATTATAGGGTTTTTTATGAAAGGAAGAACAGCCTAAGTTACTCCTAATATAGACAGCTACCTGGTAGTAAAATGTTACCAAAATCGGTTTAGCCATTTTAAAGATTACCTGAAACAAACAGGCAGACAGTCACAAAAAATATTTAAACTGCTTTTTAGGCATACGTGTCGTGCAAATAACCGTGGGAGCATGAAAAAAACCCAATGAAATTTAATTAACCTTATTTATTATTTTCATTAACCTTATTTAAGTGATTCAGATGAAAACTTTGAAGACAAAGGTTTTGTTGATTATTTAAATACACCAAAAAATCAAGATTCACTTCCGTTCATTCAGTTCGTATAGGTCGTAACCTTCAATAGTATCAGAAGCACAAATCAAAGTCCACTTAGCAATAGTAGTCCAGTCATTATAGTAAGTTCACCTTGGAATTCGAGATACCCAGCTGTAAGTCTGTAAATACTTGTATATTGACACCCTAAAAGTTGTCTCAAAACCTACATATGGTAGGGTGTAAGCAACTATTAAATTTCAAGGTCAAAAGTCACAAAAATCGGTTTATTGCACTTTTTTTGGAAATATCTCATTTCCTATGGGTTTCTGCTTTTTGTATTCATTTTCAATATTGTAGAATACAAAAATCTCTACAAATTTTGTTTAATTTTTTTTTTTATACGGTGAACCGTTTTCGAGACAGAGGGCGGAGAGCGCGCGGTCACAGCATCACTTCAGGTCAACCGGTGCCTCCGGTCGAAAACGCGCCATATATAGTTGATGAACTATCTACTACTAAGATATATATATATGACTGGACTATAGTTAGACACTAATAGAAAGCGAAACAGTCCAAAAATACAAGCCAAGTTTTCAACTAGATACTACCGGGTTGTACGCCAAATCTTAACACCCCCGGTATTTCATCTAAGTTTTTTTTATGAATTCTGATACTATCCTAGACTTTACCTTATTAGATAGCTGAAAATAGGTACATGTTTTTTAACAAATCTCCAGTTTAACAGTTATATTATATATATACGAGTATATTAACCATCTCAACTATTATTAACCATCTACAAAGTTTGTTAAGTTAACTACGATTTTAGTAATTAAAATTATAAAACAATTTATCAACTACACAAAAACTGTAAAAAAAAAACATAAAATGAAGGACATAAGTTCTAAAAAAAACTGTAGAGGCTAAAATTTCGGCGATTTTGATAAAAAATGTTAAAATTCCAATATCTTGAAAATGGTAATTTTTGGAATACGGTATTTCATAGTGCAATCTATCAGAAATGATGGTAAACAAAACTTTTCAAAGTATTCAAGTTGACTTATCCAGTAACAATGTATATATTACTCTAAAATCTTTGCTGGAGAAATTGTTAGAACACTAAGGAGTAAAGTGCTATAGGTTAATATGCATTTCTTCTTAAGTTGGCTTAATTTATATAGAAAGTATATAAGCTACACAGTACACTTAATAGTCGTTGTCCCTGCAATTATAAACAACATAATGAATAATATTATTGAAAGAATAATGCATTGTCATGTTTTAATAAAAACAAAATAGTTTGATTTATTTGATGAACAGCATTTCTATTCCTCAATGACAATAACAAATCATTTAAAACGAATTTTTTTTCTAATACTTATTGGGCAATTGGACGTGATAGTTGCTTATACGCTATTAATTAATACGTACCAAAGTCTTAAGTGGTCTGGATAGAAGGCCTAATAAATGTATAATACGAGTAGTTGAAAGCTTACATAATAACATTTCATGTAATAAATTCTGCATTTTTATTATGTGTATTGCTAATGACATGCAGTACTTTAAAGTATTTCGTGTAAAATATTCCCATATAATACAAATTTAAAATTTGGAACACGACACTAGTATTAACTCAGGATCGGGCTGCAGCACCAAGTCAAAGTACTATATCATGAAAATACCACTAAAACAGTACATCAAATTTTAAATCAATCGAAGCTGTGTAAGTTAGTGAAATCATCAACTAAAAAAATATTTGATGGTCTTCACAAATTACAGCTAAAATCAGTCTCGATCACGTCAGCTTTCAAACACAAAAACCGGATCATAATTGGTCCATACGTTTTGGAGCTACTGTGCACTGACACACAGACACGTCAAACCTATAACACCATCAGGGATTAAAAATGAATTACTTTGGAATGTTTGTAGATATAATTTTATATGTTTTTTTTATAGAAATGCACGCAATGTATGTTTAATTACCTGAGAAAGATAACAGAACTATTTAAAATTACGCGAAGCAAAACAATAATCACTACAAATGACAATGCTTTTACAAGTATATGTTATATTATTACTGAGGTTAGTGTAAATTAATCTTTTTTTTTAACTTTACATTATATGTTTCTTAATAATTGTGTCCTTTTAAGAGCACCTCTCTATCTATATATTATTAAATAACTTATTCTACTGCCTTCATCATCGTTTGAGAGCCATGCTTCGCCACAACTAGCCCGGTGTGAGGTTGTGTTATCGCTTCGGTAGACCTACCGAAGCGATAACACAACCTCACAGTGTTAATTATATCATTCATTTCTTTTCACTGAGTGAGGAAGTTTCTCTAATCACCCTACCTCTATCCTTCTACAATCTGAATGGTTCATGGACGGTGCTAGTTTCTTGCCATCAGGTAACCCGTTTATTCCGTTGGCCATTGTATCATTCAAAACTGACATTAATCTAGTTTCAGTGCAACTACGCTTTGCAAATTTCTTCCAAAAGATGATCCACAAGCGGGTCCTTTAATATTAACGCCCTATATTGAAAATGGACAAATAGAAGAAGCAAGAAACTTATCAAAGGTTGACCCATTGGCAGCTGCTGGACTCAACAGCCACGCAGCCTACTTTACTGTAAACAAAACTAACAAATGGCATCTATTCTTTTGGTATTTTCCCGCACAAGAAGTTCCTTTAGATAGTACCCCCCTTATTATCTGGTTACAAGGTGGTCCTGGTGGCTCTTCTCTGTTTGGTTTATTTGAGGAAATAGGCCCCCTACAAATAAGGGACGGTAATGGTAAGTGTATACATTTTTCTTAAGTATGAAAGGATCACGTGCTACAACGGTGGCTGGACAAAGTATTTATAACGCAATTCACTACATTAAATATACATGCAATTTAAAACTGCTGTAGTTATTTTATAGTTCATTACGAAATATATCAACTCTCCACTTATTGTTTACTCTTTCTTTTTTCAGTGGAACGAACGCCAATATCGTGGGGACAAAACTACTCTCTGCTCTTTATCGACAATCCTGTTGGTACCGGATTTAGCTTTACGGAAAATCCCGAAGAATACGCGACAAACGAGGATATGGTATGGTAAAGCTACTAATATAATTGTTTAGCTACCAACTAATTGGACCCATAATTACATTTAACTAATGATTTAAGGTGGGTGAATGTCTTCTCAGTTTCCTTCAGCAGTTTCTACAAGTTTTTCCGGACCTAAGAAAAGCCCCCCTTTTCATTGCAGGCGAATCATATGCTGGCAAATATATTCCAGCATTTGGACATTACATACATAACAATAAAAATGACTCAATGCCTATCAATCTAAAAGTAAGTAGTAACAGGTAACTCTTGTCAAACAACATTCTGTTTCCTCACTTACATGCTAATTATAATTTCTGATAAAGTTTTATTAGTAACCTGTAAATAATATCAGGTGCATTGCCGATTTTACAAATAAAATGATAAAACTTCTTTCTCAATTGTTAACAGTATGATATTTTTATACATTTAAATTTTTAAACCTTTTAGGTACATTTATGTATTTCAGCCATTTTTTTTTCAATTAACACTTATAATACCCCACAAATCTCACACACGGCGGTCTAATTTGAAACTAGGCAAAGCCTGTGCTATGGTAACCAGACTGCTGATAAACACACTTATATACTTTTTGCACCCAAATATAAGATATTAAGTAAGAATCGTTTAAATTATCCACAATAAAAACGACTCAATACCTATCAATCTTACGGTAAATTCTAGCCTAACAACATTGTATTTTTTTGTCCGCTCATGACCAATTCTCATTCGCTATTTTTATTTTCTGAAAAGTTTTAGTAGTACTAGTTACATTTAATGATACATATAATTCAAAGCAAAAAAGAATAAATGGTGCATGTGTAAAAATGAAAAAAAAGTTCATTTTTTTATATAGACTTTACTTTTGGATTTTACAAACATACATAAAACAGACACAAAGAACACCCAGACTCACCGCAGTACTAAGCAGTAAAGCAAGCACGATTATTAATAGCATTTTTCAAGATAAAAATCAATCAGATACATCGCTGTATGGCATCATTTCACCACCACTACTTTTAGTCACATGTTAATATTTTTAACGAAGAACCTATACCATAAAAGCATCACATCAATAGCCTTTAATAGTCCACTGCTGTACATAAGCCTCTCCTTAGAAAGTTTTGGAGGTTTTACCCTACTATACCACGCTGGCCAGATGGGGTAGTATAGGATTTGTGTTAAGTTTTCCTTCTCTCTGCAGTGCTGTTGTTCTCCCTTAGTCGGCTCTTACGACACCCACGGGATAAATGGGGGTGGTGACACTCTGTATTCTAAGTCCGTCACCACAATGACTTTATCCGGTTACTTTTCCAAATTCCAAGCAGCTACCTACTTTTAATTTATGAACACGTGTATGCAAATTCAAAAAATTGACGTTCTATGCCATGAAGTAAAACCATAGATATTACATCAATACTATTAAATATCTATATTTTATAGAAAAATCTGTACTTTGCAATGTTATATGTTTTTGTTTATTATCTTAAAAATGGAGGGAAGAATTCATGTCATCATATTTCACAAGAGTTCATATTTGCATAAGGTTCTTTATTAATTTTCTTCACTTTTTTATATACTGTTTCAAAATAAATTAATATTTTCAGGGCTTAGCAATTGGCGACGGATGGACAGATCCTCCGACACTGTTACACTATTCAGAGTTTGCGCTACAAGTGGGACTAGTAGACCCTGAGCAAGCTAATAAAATACACCAACTGGAGGAAGATGCTAGAAATTGTTGGAATCAGCATGACATGGATTGTTTTGCGAGTGTATGACTAACAGTTTCTCAGTTTTCTTTTATTTTAAAACGTAACCATTAAATGCAATAGGTATACAGCTTCATGTCTTTCGTTCAAAGAGACAAAACGTAATGAATATTACAGGATTTGAAAAATACTGAAGTCGAATATTTACAGCTGTAGGTACTTAATATTTGTTTATGTTTGTGTATTATATTTTCAGAATGCTAAGCAAGCTTATTCTACATTAATGGAACACGCAAAGGTGAACGACTACAACTATGTGAAGGACTCAGATGAAGACATTGAAGATAAAGATTTTGTTCGTTATTTAAATATACCAAAAATACAAGATTCACTTCATGTGAAGAGAATGAAGTACTCCGCAAGTAACGACATTGTTTATGAATATTTAGCACAATCTGATTTATATCATACTGTTAAGCCTTGGCTAGAAGAACTTTTGGAATATTACGGTGTAATGTGTTACAGGTTAGTAAGTTTAAAAAAAGCCTAACACACATTGTAGTTTATGTGTTTCATGTAACTTCATGAAACACATAAACTAGATTACAAAGAATATTAGTCACATTTCGATCATTCTGTTGGAAATACTTCCTGTTTTTTGTCTTGTTTTACGACTGTTTATGATATTGTGCACTATTTAATTTTTCAAACACTTAGCGGGCAATTGGACCTAATAGTCGCTTATGCGCTCTCAGTTCACACTTACCAAAGTCTGAAGTGGTCCGGGCAGCAGGCATACTTAGACGCAGAAAGAACACCTATGCACGATGAAACGAACCCCAGCAAAGTTAACTCGTAAGTACCTTCTTATTACGACAATTATTTTTATCAATGAATCATTGCATATTAAACTGAGTTGTAGTATTTATTTTTTGGAGACGTGTCGTATGAATGCAAAATGAGATATTGAAATGTTTTTTTAACCATAACACACATCCAAAACTTTGTGAGGAGGTGTACTCAATATGTATAAGGAACATTTTATTTTTCCTTTTATACTCGTTCCGCGAACAGAATCTCGCCCTGATCCTACAACTAATAATTTCAGATTTCTTTAGATCTTAAAATTATTAATGAGAGTCAACTTATAATTTATTCTCTAATGCACAGTCATCAGCCTCAAAAAACCACAGTTATTATCCATTACTGCTTAAAATTAAGGGTATGGAGATTTTAAGAGAATGTTAACAAAAAATTCCAGTTGTGCTACTGCTGACAACCGGTGCAAATGAAATCCATTTTTCTAGTTCGCGGCAAAACGATATTTTCTAGACTATCTTCCAAAGAAAGTAAAGAAAATGTTTTTACTTTGGACCTGACCTTATTTAGTACGAGTTTGATCTTTGGGAGAACCATGCTTCGGCACAATTAGGCTGGCTCTACCGTAGTGATAGCACGGGCTTAGAAAAAATGTTAAACAATTCTTCGATACTTTTCACCAAATAAGTGAGGTTACCAGAGCCAAAAAAATACAATCCTGTCTTAAACTATCTCGATTGTAGAAAAGAAAGCACGACTTTAAACCTTTTTTTTTTTTTTTTTTTTTTTTTTTTTTTTTTTTTTTTTTTTTTTTTCCGTGCGGAAATCCCCTCGGATACCACCTGTCGGTGGCATGTCGGACTCGAACCGACTAAAACCGCACGCCTTCGCCGGGTACTAATAGCCGGGGAACCAGGTATACCCTAGAAAGGAAGGCCCTGGTGCCCCGACATACCTCGGGTCATCTACAGACGAGTAGACGACCCCCGCCCCGTGTGGGAACCCCATGTTCCCTGTGCTCCCTGAAAGCGAGCGCGCTTCGCAACGCGCTCGCCGCCACCCCGGCCTGCTTCTGCTAGGGTGACAGATGGCCTCACCTGTCACCCCCAGGCCTGCACTTATGGAGGACGGAGGTCGTTCTGCGACCTCCGGCGCCTGAGTGACCTGCGCTGCCTGGCCCGTGCCCGGGCCTGGCGGGCCGGGAGAGTTCTAAACCTCTCCCGGTCCCGCTCCGCCGTCTCCTTCGCGAGCATAACTTGCTCGCAGAAGGAGACGGCAGAGTTCCACGCACTCTCGCTCCGCACGATAGCCGCAATCAGGCTATCGAGCGAGAGCACGACTTTAAACCTAACTTTATCTGACAGATGTCTATTTTGTTCTGATTTTGTAGGTGTTTAATTCAGTTTTACCATTTATGTTCACGATTTCTTGTCAACTGAAATAAGCGTAAAACCTAATAATATTTTTCCAGTTATGTAAAAGCAAGTGGAAACTTCATGGATGTCATGGTTCGCAATGCAGGTCATATGGTGCCGACCGATCAGCCACGAGCAGCGAAACAGATCATAGATATGTTCATTAATAAATTTAAATAAATATTTCATTAAATGTGTTATTTTATTGATTTGTTTACTGCCTACTTAAATACACTTATTTTAGGTGTTAAAAACTGAAAAACTTTGAGACTACCTTTTTCCGAGTTGAAAATCTATGATCATCAGTAAATCTCCCATGTACAACAAGCTTAGCAAAGCTCAAAATAATTTGTTGTCATTATTCTACTATTAAATGTACAAAAATACCGTTTTGAAAATTTGTAATAAAACTTACCACACTAGGGATTTTGAGAATTTGGCTGTGTGGTTGTATCTTAGCTTTCACGTAAAGAAGATACACAATAGTGTCTCAAAAAGGTAAAGGCTGATATACATGATAATAACGTTACATCTATTATTCACATTTAAGATTTTTTTTAAATGAATCTTAAGAGAAGAGAAGAAGAGTAAGTAAGGCGGTATTAGGTATCCGAGGGGACTGCCGCACAGAAAAAAAGGAGGAAGATACATATTTTTTAAAGGCGTTATCGGCGGTTAGAACTATCATAAGAAGAAAACCTCCTCAACTCCCTGATACCTTAACAACCCCTTTAATGATTCAACACTGCGTACCCGAGAGTTTTACATATCTTACATGGTTTTATGATACTATAGCTAAAAATTTATTTATGTAAAAGTACAATTCTGGAGTTATAAACAAAAACAAATATTAACAATTTCAAAAAGCAAGTGACAAGTATATGGATGTAATGGTTCAGAGAGCGGGACATAATGGTTCTTGCAGACCAACCATCATCATCTGCCTACCCTTTTCCCAATTTTACTCCCTTCCTAGCCATATCCTCCCTCACGCAGTCCATCCACCTTTTCTTCGGTCTGCCTCTTCTCTTGTACCCTTCAACTCCCATACCGAAGAACTGCCTCCCGTCGAGGATTAGGCCCAGATACTTCATCGAGCCCCGAACCGGTACGAGGACCGAGTTTAACGTTTGAGTTAATTAAATCCAAATTATCAACATTCTGCTACGCTCTCCGGGAAGTTAAAAAAACCACTGATAGAAAAACCGCTCTAATCACCTACTATGCCTATGCATTCTCATGGCTGAATTACGGTATCACCCTATGGGGCAACAGCACAGATGCTCCCTCAATGATAATTATGCAAAAAAAGTTAATAAGGATAATTGTAAACATAGACGACACAGAGAGTTGCAAACCTCATTTCCGAAAACTAAAAATACTAACCGTTCCTTGTATGTTTATTCTTGAAACATGTACATTTGTCAGACAACACACAGATTATTACACGAGAAGGGAAGATTTAAATACAAATTATACATTGAGACACAAAAACAGACTAAATTTACCAACGTCCAGATTAAAAATGCATGCATCAAGCCCCTATGTCATGTTCATAAAAATATATAATAAATTATCCAATAATATTAATAATGAAGAAAAATTAAATATATTTTTAAAAAAATTAAAAGATCTTTTAATAAAAAATGCTACTACCATATAAATGAATATCTAAACGACAAATTTGAATAATTAACATAATATATAATTACAAAATATATAATATACTATGGAAACCAATCAATATATAATAATAAACTATAATATAATATTTACTAAATTTAATTAATACGTGAGCAATAAAAGAAATACCTACTTAGTTCTATTTGCTAATCTACATTTCAATATGATGATGGAATGTTTGCTTTTCTCTCCTAATGTTGCCGTGCCCGACAGGGTCCATAATTGTTTCTTTCTACATTTATAAGACCTGCGTATACATTATTGAGTGCAATAAACGAATTGAATTGAATTGAATAGCCACATGATTCAAATTCTTAAAATTTGAAAAATGTAGCTAGTATGCCTAATACTAGCTACATTATTCAAATTTTAAGTAAATTTTAAGTATGAAATTTAATGAAAAATATTTATTTAATCAAAATATGGTCCTCATTATCTAAAAATTGCTGCCATCTAAACGGAAGTTCATTTATGCCTTTACGATAGAGCTGTGAGGATCTAGATTCGACAAACTGTGTAAAAGCATTTTGTACTGCCTCTCGGGAAGATTTTTATCACGAAAAAAAATGGTAGTCCGTTTGAGCAAGGTCTGGCGAGTTCGGAGGATGACATATGGTTTCTAACTATAGCTCCTGTTGAGTTACAACGATTTCTCGTGCAGTGTGAGGTCTTGCGTTATCATGAAGCAATAATGGTGAAGATCGATTCACGAGTCGGGGCTATTTCACTGCCAGCTTGTTGTTCGAAGTTCGGCATAATGAACATCTGCTGTTATTGCCTGACCAAACCTGGGAAAGCTTTAATTAATAACACCATGAAGAGACAACCAAATAGTTACCAATACCTTTTATTGGTAAGCTTGGCTTTAGAGCACTGTTGCGGCGTTTGACCTGGGGTCAGTCAGTGTATTTTTCTCTTACGGTTATCGTAAACAATGCACTTTTTGTCACATGTCACAATTTGATCCAATATTCCCTCTTTTCTGTACCGATTCAACAAGGCAACACAAGTTTCAACACGCATTCCTTTCTGAAGATCAGTCAAATCATGAGGCACCGACCATATTTGTTTATGTGATTGATTTGATACAAATGAGTCAATATTGTAGGTAGGGTAACGTTAAAACATACCGCTAATTCCTGGATAGTTTGACTCGGATCGGCTTCCACCATCTCCTTCAATTCAGCGTTATCCACCTGTGTATCCACCTTCAAGTCGAAATTTTCATTGCGAAAGCGTTAAATCTAAAAACGCACGGTGCGTTTATTAGCAGTCTCTTCTCCAAACTGATATTTCAAGCCGTTTCTGCCGCGTTAGTTCCGCGTCGGAACTGGTATTTTCGCAGGGACTCCGATTTTCGCAGTCCATCTTTCACGTCTAAGCCAAATAAAAAAATAATAATGTCGAAAACCGTATATTGCATATTTTTTAAAAGAAGAACCTGATAGGTATCATGTGAAGAAATTTTCACACGAAAGTCTTACACCATGAAGGTTTTATGTCAAAGTATACATTACTATAGAACGGCAATTTCACACTTTAACCCCTATTCTTGGGTTAGGTTAGGTTAGAACAGTGGCGGAGGCGCGCTTATCACCGCCTCATGCCGCCATGAGTGTGGCCGCGGGTGGACGGGGTGGGTTTCCCCTCCACCCGCATTAGTTTGGCCAGCCGCGAGGGGGCGGCGTCCGCGTGTGCCGGACGTCGCCTAAAGAGAGGAAATAATTTTTGAGACGGAGCCCGCAACAGGATCGGGCCGGCGCTAGGAGGGTTCCCGATGTCTTAATAACAGCTGTTCCCGGATCCCTCCTATTACAGGCGCAGAGTGGCACACCGTGTGGTTTTAGTCGGTCCAAGTCCGACACACCACCCCGCCGCAAACCCCGGTGGGGTGACGGTCCGAGGGGATTTCCACACGTTAAAAAAAAAAAAAGAACAGTGGCGATTAATGACAGATACCCTCTGTTATTGGTGAATCATTTTGGTTAGAACTGTGACCATGCGATGCCAAATCCGCTCCATTTTGGACTGGTGAATTTCAGATGTTTCGAATTATCATTAAGTAATCTATCGAAATCTATTGAAACTCGGTATTTTAAGCATAGTTATTATAAACGTTAGGAAGATTAAAAACTTTGAATTATAAAAATAGGATGAATGATAAATCGGAGTTGTTATGTTCAGCAGTTTGAACCATTCGGAATTATGAAAATCAGTATTTTGTAATTCGTATTTGTGACTGACGGAATAAAGTTTTTTGTATTTCTGTAGTGTGGAACAGATGTTATTATTGTTATTCATTATGTTATAGTTACTATTGGCTATTAATAACATACATATATTTTAGGTAGTTTCTAATTTAATTAAACTTATTATAAATTATTTGAGATAAATAGTTTTAATTAATAACAGTTTGACCCATTGGTGCCACATTAATGAATAGGTCTTACCAATTAAAATAAATTGAAAACAAGGATAAGTTTTTAAGTACAAATATTTTTTTGTATTGCAAATAATGTATTATTTTGCTTCTAGTCTAGATTTCATTTTTTAATAGATCAAAACCTAAAGAAAAGATCCACTGCTACTTCAATAAGTACCTATGTGCCGTTAGAAAATACAATACACATAAAAATATCTTTTTATAATCTTTAGACAGTTCCTTAACAATTAAGCTCAAGATTTACTAGAAGAAATTGCATTAAAAAAGTAGTCACATCTTAGCAAGCATTAATTAAATTACATGCTAAAACTGGGTCAACTTTTATATGCTTTATTAACATTAGATCTATGACAATGCCATTCAAATGTGTAACAATACCATTTTCATTAAAAATCTTTGGAATCAATGAATATGTAACAAAAATGCGTCTTATTGAAACAAATTAAAAAGCTCATCAACTACTCGTATGCTCTATTTGTGTGAAAATTCGCACATGTCTTGTACCTTATCATATTATATTTCGTCATCGGGTATTTGATCGGCGTCTTAAGTGTACCCTAGAAAGGAAATCTCTCTAAAACCGCGACAGTGTTGACTGGCCGTGTGTGCTGTCACCCACTTCAGAGACGCGGGAACTGTGCTTTTAAGAAAATTGGATCAAAAGAACGTTTTTTTAAAGAAGTCAGGTATTTATTTGTGAACCGATTTTGATGAAGCCTGGTACACATTTGTAGTTCTAATGAATTTTGATAAACAAATTAATTGAAAGAAAATAAGTCAAATGAATTCCCCGCCTTTTGATATCCTGGCGGATATGGACGCGAGGCTCTATGACCACACTTGCGCGATCCGCCGGGTTGAGGGTGGGGAAGACCAGGAAAAGGCTCGAAATGCGGCGGAACGCCCACCGACAGGCACTGGTGCAGTGGCGCGCGCGACTGGAGCAGCCACGGAATGCGCGCCAACGCGCTGTCGGTGCCGTTCTGCCTAACCTTGAAGCTTGGGTAGGTAGGGAGGGAGGTCGCGTCACCTACCGACTGACGCAGGTACTCACTGGGCATGGTTGCTTCGAAGAGTACCTGAATCGGATTGGACGCGAGGAGACGGCACAATGCCAGCACTGCGCAGCCGACTGGGACTCCGCCCAGAATACGCTGGAAGACTGCCCCGCGTGGGCGTCTGAACGCGAGGTCCTGCTGGCGGTTGAGGAGGGCTGGGGCGCAGTGGTCTCTTTCTGTGAAGCTGTAATGCTCTAGAAAGAGACCGCTGAACGGGATCGGGAGAGGGCCGATCCCGAACGCAGAGGATGTCGTTGCCGATATCAGCCGTCGACGGGGCCGCAGGCCGCAAGAGAGTGGTATTGTATTTTCTGGTGGCAGATTGATTGCTGCGGTAGGGGATAGAATGGCCGGCCTGATTGCATTAAGATGCGATCGGGCCGCCATGCCGCGATTGAAGGGGGGAAGTGTTCTCCCCTTGGATAGGGCCTGATTAGGCATGGTGTCAATTCGGGGAGGACCTGAAATAACATGGTCCGGGTCCTCCCCAGAGTAGGACACCTAAGGCCGACCGTCGGGATGGTTTTTAGTGGAATCACCACATACTCCTGGCTCCTGAGTCCCCGAGGAGCAGGAGATCCGAAGGGATTTTCCACCCCGTCAACAAAAAAAAAGTCAAATGAATTATTGTGTAATAATTTATGTAATGAATCTGCACACCGCTTTGCTTTTCATTTTTTCCTATAAAAGTAGATTGTGAGAAGAGTATGTGCCAATCCAATTCTTTTGTTAGTAAATGAATTTATTAAAATGGTGACTTCTCAAGCCCTTGCTATTTTAATTTTAAGTGTAAATTGTATTTCTGCATTTCTTCTGTTTAGTAAGTAACACCTTGTTTTCTTTATAGTAGAATAATTTTGAATTGTAATGTGTTATCAGAAATACTATTCTTATGTTGTGATTTTCGTTAGTCACTATCATTGCCATCTCCAACAGATTTCTATGGGAGTGGAGGTAAAGGGTGGTTATGCAAGAACAAATGAACATGTGTGTGAAATATTTTTAAAACCTGTAACTATTCGTCATTACTGAGAATGGTTGCTTGCTTTCCTATTAGTTTAAATAATCACAATGTCGAAGGAAGAATAGGTACTAATGGTACTCGAAGAATGAAGGATCTGTATATTCATCATTTGTAATATAGGATCATAGTAAGAGATTTTAAGTTCATGCGGTTTAAATTTTTCTTTTTTTCGGTTTAAACTTTTCTTATTTTTAAGTTGATTAACATAGTAATATTCTATTGAAATAATTTCTGTGTCATAATATAGTGTAAGTAGGCAAACTAATAGTATTATTTTTTTGTGGATAGAAAGTAATGGGCAGGAATCATTATGGAAAATGAATTTAAACGTCAAAGAAGAAAAACAAAATGCTAACACGGATTTTGAATGGTAAGCCAACCTGAGTTATAATTCTGTAGATTACAAAAATACCAATTACTGGGACAACAAAACTATTACTTTTTAAAATAGAGTACAGTACGTCGATGTTTTACATTTCATTTTCAAATAATTTAAAAATGACTATGTGGCTCTCGTTCTATTTAATATGTAGATCTATATCTTTATATGGCCAAAGTCGAAAACTTATGTGGCGAGATTAACTTAACTGCTGACCCTTTAATATGCAGTAAAAGTTTTTGCGCTCATTAGTACGAATGGTGTGCAATGAACGAAGTAAATGTGTTTGACACCTCACCTTGTCAAAGACAATCAAGAGAGTGTGTTGTTTGCAAAAAAGTTATGTACATTTTATAAATACCTAGAGGCGGGTTACAAATTTATTTCTATTGAAATAAACTTGTAGTACCTGTTTCTAGGCTCCAAAAGATAAACAAGTTGTTTCGAGGTAATGTGTCCGATTTTATAATGAAATTCTAAATGATATTCAAGACTCAAAGTATTGACAAATTTAAATCCGCAATTAAATGTAAATTATGTCAGAAAGCCTATTACTCAATTGTGGATTACATAGAAGACAAAAATGCTTGGGAATAATTTAGCGCAGGCTATTTCTTAAGTGGAAATGTGATGTGGGCTAGGGTGTTTTTTATTTATTTTTCTATTGTTTATGTTTCACTTCACTGTCTCTTTTATTTGATCTTTTTTCCTAATCTTATTTTTTCCTTTATTGTCTTTTTACCTTTTAATCCTAAACGGACGTACTGGTTATCGGAATAATGTTGTGGTATATTTAATGATGCCATTTTATTTATCTGTAAATTGCAAAAGAGTGGCCATGAGTTTGTGTGCCCTTTCTTCTCATAAGGCTTAACGCCTTGGAAACGGACAGTTTGGTGTGTGTGTTGATCTACGAGTTTAGAGTCTACATAAATTACGATTTCAAACGATTAAAAAAAATGATGACAAACATATTTTGAATTAGAATTTGAGGAATAATTAAAGTTTAAGTAATTTATATATTATAATTTATATTTTACCCGAAATTGAGTTTTGCTACAAGCAACCAACTGTCAAACATACTTATCTCTTCCAAAGTGATTAAATTTTTTCTAGATGATTACGAAAAGCATATCCTTCGAAACCTGCCAGAATACTGCAAAGTTATTTTTTTGAGTTCAGTATCATTATTTAATTGATTTCTAACCTTTGAATAAATATGTAACACGGGCAATAAAGGATTTCTATTTAAACATTCATGAGTCAAGGACATTACAGATTTATCAATTGAAATTTATTTTTAGTTCTAATGGATTCTGCAAATTTCTAAATCATACCGACGGTCAAGGTGACGCTCTCATTCTGACGCCCCTTATTGAGACTGGAAAGATAGCACAAGCGAGGAATCTTTCAATAGTAGACCCCAGCCATTTCGCCGGTGTAAACTCACATGCAGCTTACTTTACTGTGAACAAAACAAATAAGTGGCACTTGTTCTTCTGGTATTTTCCTGCAGAAAATGTTCCTTTAGAAAGTACACCACTCATTATCTGGTTACAAGGTGGTCCTGGTAGCTCTTCCTTTTTTGGATTATTTGAAGAAATAGGTCCTTTACAAATTACAAATGGAAAAGGTAAGCTAATATCATAATAGAATATAGTATTATGACAGGCATTTACAAAGACATGTCCTTTCGGCCGCTATGACAACTTGTTATGAAAGAGGATTTTATATACTTTTTCGACTACCTTCCTATCCTACCTATTTTTATCCAAACTCTGTTAAGATTTGTGTTGCCTGAATTTTTTCAGTCTCCCACGCAACATTCTACGGCATATGTATTTTCAGTGCATGATTTCTATCTACTTATTATATTAATATATACTAGTCTGAATTCGCAAGTCTGATTGAGTTGAAATATATCATTTTAGCCTAGGGAACAGGTTACTTTTCTTATGAAATTTCATAAACATAATTTTACAGGCATGTAATAGTTTTATGGAAGGTCTTTGTCCAGCAGTGAAACAATATAAGCATAACAATACAACTAAACTACTATACACTATATTATTTTGAAGTGTTATTTTTTTTTTTACCTTTCAGTGGAACGAAAACCCATCACGTGGGGAAGCAATTACTCTCTTCTATTCATTGACAATCCTGTTGGTAGTGGATTTAGCTTCACAGAAAATCCTAACCTCTACGCCAGGGATGAAAATACGGTTTCTAATAATATTAAAATTCGAAAAGAAAATTTTCTGTTATCAATTTGTGTTATCAATTTTAATGTTGATTAATTACTATTTCAGGTAGGGCAATCTCTCCTCAACTTTCTTCAACAGTTTCTACAAGTTTTTTCAGAACTGAGGCAAGCTCCCCTTTTTATTGCCGGCGAGTCGTATGCTGGCAAATATATCCCTGCTTTTGGATATTACATCCATCACAACAAAAATGATTCAATGCCTATCAATCTTAAGGTTAGCTCTAAAATATTAAGCTAGTTGTGAAAAAGGGTAAGGGCGTGTCTGAAGTTGTTCGTATCGTTGATAATGATACAATGAATCACATTTTTTTTTAAATAGTAGTTATGTCACTCAAAAGATTTATTTTACATTTTATTTGGTTGTGTGGTGGAACTCGTGCAAGTCATTTTTTATAAAGCCATTTTTTCTTTTGATCTGAAGAAAAAGTTGTTTTTCTTACCCAGAAATTTTCGTAACTTAATTCGACATGAACGTTTGCATGTCATTTACGCTAACTCTTCCAGATTATGAGAAAGGGTGACATTATGCATGTTCATGAGTTAGCATAGTTTCCTGTGACTCTTGTGTAACGACTTTTCACTGCAAAATAAGTTCAAATATTATGGATGTTACTCAAATTTTATTTTCACAACAAACCTGAATAGTCTCTGGTATAATTGGATTTATTTTCGAAATTATAATACAGATACTATTAACAGGGATTAGCAATTGGTAATGGCTGGACTGATCCTCCAACACTGATGCACTATTCAGAGTTTGCGTTACAAGTGGGGCTACTAGATCCTAAGCAAGCTGCAAAAGTGCATCAATTTGAAGAAGATTCTCGAAACTGTTGGAACAAAAGGAATATGTCATGCTTTACATATGTAAGGTTTCATTATTATTTTAGTTAGTCAACTTGTAATAAAACTTGAATTTTGCACAATAAATAAAAGTAGGTACTTTTTTATTGTGCAAAATGAAGTTATAAAAATTGATATTTTAAAATTAGTGTAAAGTTTAATTATCGCTATACACTATATCTACCCAAAGCAATGTTATACCTAAATGCGAAAGTGAGTTTGTTGGTCTCAAAGCAATCAAATCTCATAGCAACCTTCATGAATTTGTTTTTATTTCTTCAATATCCTTGAAATAAAACATTTATAGACTCATTTATATCAATCCTCCCTCACATGAAATAATATTTTATCGTTGAATTTTCAAATGTGTATTATCAGTTTCGAACTCATATTAATGTTCCAATTTTTATTTTTCTAGAATGCAGATAGAGCTTACACTACCTTAATTTACAACGCTCCTGTAAGTCAATATAATTATTTGAAGGATGCGTCAAACAAAATTAATGTAACGCCTTTTAGCGACTTTTTAAACAAGGCCCAGATTCAGGACTTATTGCACGTGAAAAAGATGAAATATTATCCACTTAACTATGTTGTATATGGAAATTTATACTCTGATTTTTATTTAACGGTAAAACCTTGGCTGGAAGAATTGTTGGAACACTACGGAGTGATGTGCTACAGGTTAATATTGATTTCTTCTTAAGAGTTTGTTTCAATTTTATTTGTTTTTGAACAGTATTTTTATTGCCTATTTCTTTAACACATTTGATATCTTTCATGTTTCTAGTGGACAATTGGACGTGATAGTTGCTTATGCGCTAGCAGTTCACACGTACCAAAGTCTTAAGTGGTCCGGACAGAACGCCTACTTGAACGCCACTAGGTTTCCTCTTGTCGATGAAGTTGATAACAGTAAAATTATTTCGTAAGTGCATTAAATAAATCGTATAATATATACACATATACAAAGCTGTCATATACTACAACTATACATAATAATATTACCCATAAGTACATACATAATAATACATAAATCTATACTAATATTATAAAGCTGAAGAGTTTGTTTGTTTGTTTGTTTGAACGCGCTAATCTCAGGAACTACTGGTCCGCTTTGAAAAATTCTTTCAGTGTTAGATAGCCCATTAATCGAGGAAGGCTATAGGCTATATATCATCATGCTAAGACCAATAGGAGCGGAGCACCAATAAAGAATGTTTCAAAAACGGGCAAAATTTATTACAATTGAGAGACGCAGACGAAGTTGCGCGGGTCAGCTAGTACAGTATAAAAGTATATAAATATACGCAAATAGATACTGATAACATTTTTTATATTTCATAAGCAAGTTGATTCTGCCAGTTGTTTCACTAGTTACTGCCTTCCTTTTATTTAAACGGAAAAGTATTACTGGCCATCCTGATTTCGAGCGGAAGCGCATTCCAAAGAAGAACGCAATGAACGAAAAAGGATGAGCCAAAGAACTCAGACGTGTGGGACGGACGACGAAGAAGAAGGTTATTGGAGGACCGAAGGCTCTCTGTCGTGATCACTACATAAGAGTTGGAAGTAGGAAGGAGATACGTTGGCAAAGATAGGGTATTAGGAATAGTGAATAAGACAGAAAGAGTGCGTAATTTACGGCGTAGACGAATGGGTAACCGGTTAAGCTGCGAACGGAAAGAGGAGGTTTAAGGAGGTTAAAGATGTATCGAATGTAGTTATTAAGAAGACGGTCCAACTTATCGAGAAGATCTGCATTCAGGTCATAACAGCACACGATACCATAGTCGATTATTGGGAAGATAAGCGTTTGCACAAGTATGGTTTTGGTTTTTATGGGTAGATTTTTTTTCAGGTGATATAGTGCTCGTAAATATAAGAGTACCAGTAGCCCTCCGGTACTGATTTGTAACATGATCACTCCCATTCAGTGTAAAATCGAGGTGTAAGCCAAGATCTTTAACAGTTTGAAGAACCGGTATTGTAGTCCCGGTAAATATAACAGATGGACCGTCTCAATATTTAGTCTTCTTATTAACACTTCGAATTACAATAGCTTGACATTTCGTAGGTTTTACTAATAGGCCGAATTTGTCAGACCATGCTTTAATTCCAGGTGTCTATTGACCATATCTATTGCTGTTCAGATATCTTCAACCTTGCTTTGTGAATAGAGAATCAAGCCAGTCAAGTCATGTCAAGAATCGGCGTACAGGTGATACGTATAACGAAGTCTCAAGGTTAAGAGTATAATATACATAGAAAAGAACAAGGGAGAAAGAATACCGCCTTGAGAGACACCAGAGCCAAGATCACAACAGTTCGACGAAGATTCATCGACACAAACAGACTGCTGCCGTCCCTGAAGATAGAATGAGAACCATTCTAGTTTTTCGGGCGAAATCTTGCGATAAGAAAGGATAGATAAAGAGATACCATGATTAACGGTACTAAAAATATTGGAAAAGTTACTAAAAATTTCGAGACCTAGGAGAGAAAGGGAAGAATCGAAATAGGTCTGAAGTGGTTGAGGAGTGTGGGGTTTGCAGTTTTAGGTAAGGGCATGGCACAAGCTTTGTGGCAAAGTGAGGGAAAAATCCCGGAATCTAGTGAGAAGTTAATAATATGAGAAATTACAAATAAAATTTGGTCAGGCCACTTGATCGCTGCCTACCGATACCTAGAGTTCGAAGAAACCTCCAAATATTGGCGGGGGAAGAACGGATAATTTTTGTCAAGAATGTGTCCGCGTTTAGCTTTACGTATCATTTGATTGCATCCATTTCTCGCAGCTTTGTAAAAAGACCGCTTTTCCTCAGTGCAATCCCTTCTAAATTTACAAAACGCCCTATCTCTGCGCCGCATAGCCATAAGCACCTCTTTCTTTATCCAGGGTGCGTGTTGCCTCTTCAGCTAACTTTTTTCTATTTTATCTCTGTTGACCCTTTCGAGGATATAGTCATGAGTGTATGTATGTATATACATATATGGTCCGTGTGGTGACGGATTCAGAATACGGAGTATTATCACCCCTATCCATCCCGTGCGCGTCGTAAGAGTCAATAATAGAGCAAACTACACCTCTACTAAGAGGACAACAAGACTGCAAAAAGAAGGAAAACTTGACACACCCTATACCGGTCTATCCAACGTACTATAGTAGGCCTAAACCTCCATTCTAAGGAGAAGCCTATGTCCAGCAGTGGACTATTGAAGGCGTAATCTAAAAAGGTTTTTGTTTATAGAACTAATTTGTCACCATTAACAATCCTAATAATGACTGTCACTGTTGTCAATTCTATACGTATCTTATAGAAACTCTAGAAGTCTGCTCTTATATATAGAAGAATACTGCGAGGTGAATATTCATATTTTTTCATGTGTGTGAGAAGTCATGAGAAGGAAACCTCTCCAAAATCCTTGGTATCGTGACAGCCTCTTGAATGATTCAACACACGAGAGTATCTTAATGAATTTATAGTGCTACAGTTAAAATGTATTTTATGTCTAAGTATAGTTCTGTAATTATTAAATACTAGTATTGCCAAATTAATATTTAGTATTTCCAACTTTGAAAAAGATGAACTTCCATGCACATGATCGTTCATCATTTTATGGAAGTTCATATTCATAGGAGCCTGAGGAGTTAAATTTCCAAAACTCTTAATGGGTGCTTACAACTTACAAATCATCAGCTGCTAATAATTTTCAAGTTAAGGCGCAGTGGTTAAGTCTCTGCGTTGATAACTTGATAAATCAGTCAGTAAGTTAGAGCAAGTAATTTTATATAATAATATAAATAACAATTATTTACAGCTTCGTTAAAGCAAGTGGCAACTTTATGGATGTAATGGTTCGCGGAGCGGGACATATGGTTCCTGCAGACCAGCCGCGCGCCGCCAAACAGGTTATAGACATGTTTATAAAAAAATTCAAATAACATAATCATGTCAAGCACTACATTGTACTCTCTTTGTCAAATTGTATTATAAAATGAAGTGCAGAATTTTTATTAATTTTCCTTTTTCTACATCCTACATACAAAATAGTTATTAAAGAAGAATACATCAGGATATTTGATTATTCATTAATTTTCCCTTTTCTACTTCCTACCTCCAAAATAGTTATTAAAGAAGAATCACAGAACATAAGGTGGGTGGACCATGGAAGGCCACTCTAAAGAATAAACACTTTTTATTCGTATATTTACTGGATAAATGAAGGAAACAAATTGTTAAGGAATACTTTGGTTTATTGTGTACCATACAAATCACTTTTTTTTTACCTAGCTATAATAACTATTTATTAAACTTAAGTTTTATTAAGCTCTTCCAAATGGCCTTGCAAGGAACAGGGCTCCAAACAAGGCCAATATTATAATTCAGTCGTTCAACTTAAAAATAGAGTTGTAACAATTAATATATCCGCTTTTACTAACACTACATAATAAGCTCTTTCATTTAAGCGAAACATTAAATGCACAATATATTTTTATTATCTATAAAAAACACAATGAACATTTTTTGATTTCACAGCACGCAAGTCCTCTCCACCGAACGTCACTTTTACTCAAGAGTTGTACGTGAAGCGATTGAGATTAAAAAGCATAAAACTTTCAATCGGGAAGATGGTTTTAAATTATCTACAGCGTGGAATCCAGTGTTAAAAAACATACCACCTCGCTTTTCTGCGCAATCGGTTAAACACCAGAATAGGGACTCATCGGTTTGCTTACAGAATAGGGACACTGTTAGTGTGGTATGTGACGGTACATGGCGACACAAAAATAATATCGAAAATGTGCGGGTAGATGAAGAGCCTTCTACTTCACGGATTCGACGACGGAGGGCGTGCGCCGATGAGCCAGTCAGCCTGTGACCACGGCCGGTGCAACCTGGTCGAAACGTCAGGCAAACCAGAGGTATGTAATACCCTAAATAAGAGATCGCGTTAATTCCCGTTAAATAATATTAATTACAATGAACATTACTTGAACACCATCGTATAACTAAGAATATATTAAGGTAAATTATTTAAAACTAGTAGTAATAAATATTATATTGAAATAAAATAACTTGTCAACGCGTTTTATAATCAAAATAAAAACTTAATTTTTTACCTTATATGGCCTTCTTAAGGCTCAGTTCTTTGTAAGGCCACAATGTTCCTAAGAAGGCCAAACTAACAATCTATGACTTTTTTATATTAATTATAATAAAATAATGGACACTACAGACGTACTGTAATTATTACAAACTTATCATGGCACATAGTCTTGTAGTCAGGAATATTTAAAATCAACGGTTCTTAAGATTAAAAAACGAAAATAATAATAATAAAACGTTTGATTCGGTGCGATAAATCTTCTTCTAATTGTTTTGTGAGAATAGTTGTCTTCCCAATAATTTTAGTACTGTTACCGCTTACTAAATGGTTTCTAAGGGTGCGTCTTGGAATATTAAACTTCAACGCTGCAGCATTTGTATTTAGTTCATTATTTTGTACTGCTTCCATGGCTCGTCTTAAACTATCTTCGTTCCATTTACTACCTCTTTTTCTAGGTTTTGATTGTGACATTCTCGAAATCTGAAATAATACGTATAAATTTTAATCATCTGTTCAATTATCAACTTATTGATATATTTTTTTTTTGCTTTAATTATAGTTTTAGACAGAGTATTTTAGATATACAATTTTTAACTTATCTCATACTTACTTTATCGCTTTTAACAAGCAAATATTTTTTATATTCGTTGCTTTTCATGTAAATTAGTTTAGTTTATTTCCAGACATAACCTCTTCATAGACATAAAATAAATTTAAATATATACTGAAAATAAAATAATTTTGAAAAAAAATGTCTATTCAATCTGAGTTTAAAAGTTAGAAAACCCTTAAAAAAAATATTATAAATATAAAACATTGTTTTAACTTTAACGGTACGTATTTATAACTACATAATAAGTGTTCATATGTTCATGGTTTATAGATGTAAGGCCCATGTTCCCTAGCAAGGCCAACCGTCAAATTTTTGATTGGCCTTATAAGGAACCACCGACTTTCCTAGGAACACTCCCAATATTTTCACTTAAATCGATTCAATTTCTTTTTTTTTTCTTGAGTTCCATAAAAATATCCCTACACGACAATTCACAGTAAAAAATATAAGGAAACAATAGGTTATTTAACTAAAAACTTACGTTTTGCTGTGCGCGCGAATAACAATTGTAACGTCGACGACCGAAGTCTACGAAGTGTGAGATCACACTGCCACAATAGCGGCGCAAGCGACTCGCAGCTGCGTCTGTAGCCTTCATTTTCATGGATTGTAGTGTATAGTAGAAGGAATATGTCTTTACATGTCAATAACTACGACTTTTTAATAGTTGGCCTTCAAAGGAGCGTGGCCTTCCATGGTCCACCCACCTTATATACCAATAAAGGGGTACAAGGGGGAGAAGAATACAGCAGGATATTTGATTATTTTGAAGGGCATGTTAGTCTAGTAATTAGTGGACACGGAGGTTGTAGGTTCGATTTCCACCCAGCACAAATAATTGTATGATGAACACGATCATTTATTCTGTGTGTGGCTGTAATTTGTCTATAATATGTATGCATTTAGAAATGTATGATTATATGTATATTAGCAGTCTGGTCACCATTGTACTGGCGTTGCCTAGTTTGAAGTCAGATGGCCGGAATTATTCTTAAAGAATAATAAATACTAAAGAAAAATAAATCTTTATGAGAAGATGTTTTGCTACTATTCTGACAATGGTATTTTTCTAGTCGTTTCATTATGTCTTAAATTATTCATTAAAATTCTGTATATTATTAATGACCCATGTTACATTTTGTGTAGAGTATGCACATACTCGTAAAATTAATTACTTATAAGTCTAAACTACTATTAAGTCTTATAGAAAAAGTTTGACGTACTTCTCATAGAAATATGTTTAAATTTTAATTATTTATCTATTTCTACACCTTTATCTACCCTATCACCCTTATCACTCTACTATCATTTCAAGTCAATCTAATGCAATAGAGTGCCAAACTTATAATGTTTATATTATTGTTTTAATTAAAAGATTTCAAGATTGCAAAATTAATTAAATTTGTTTTTTAAAATACAACTCCGCTTACAATAATTAAATATAATACAACTTAAAATACACCCACCCCTATTCATTCCGTGGGTTTCGTAAGAGCCGACTAAGGGAACAAACTACGCAGGACAACAACACTACAAAGAGAACGAAAACTTGAAACAAACCCCGTACCAACCCAACGGTCAGCGTGGTATAGTGGGCCAAAACCTCATTTCTAAGGAGGGGCCTACAGTGGACTATTATAGGCTGTTGATGATGATGATGATGTAAATGATGATGATGATGCGATGATGTGGGCAATCACGTTTAAAGATTCTGGATTCTTAGGTTCCAGGTTATTTTTCGAATAAAATGCTTAATACTAAATTTATAAATGTAGATTTATAAACTATAAATAGCCATAAAATTTTTCTTTTTTTTTCGCTCGCTAGCTATTATATACGTTAGGAATATTGAAATTTGTAAACTATAAAAATAGGATGAATTATCAATCGGAGTTGTAGTATTAGGTATTTTGAAACATTTAGAATTATGAAAATCGCTATTTTGAAATTCATGCTTGTGACTGACGGAATTAAGTTTGTGTAGTGTAACCCTTGTTGACATAATCTTAATTTTAAATTACAATAAATTCTCTTTATTCTGCTTAAACTAAAAGGCATATGTCCCTCCAAAACAAAGCTTTGATCCTCTGAACAGATCAGACGATCATTCCCGACGGATTGCGGACCATTGATTGATGATGGGAATATAATATACCTATCTCATCATCTTTCCCTTTTCTTAAACTTATTTTGGATCGTCGTAACATATTTTCTCATTCTATTCTGCGTAATTATTAAGCATTTTATGGCTCACTACCTTTGTAGATATACCCTTTACTAACTTCATATTTACTTTTCTTCTCCTCAACTCTTGAGCCGGACAACTTTTACAAATGCAACTCAGTTAAATTTAAAAATAATAAAAAATAAACGCAGCTAGCCAACCCCTGGTCAAAAACCGTGGTGTTCAGGGTCTGATATAGAAATTATTATCAGAATCAAAGTCCATCTTAAAGTAAGCTTTATTTCAAAACTTTGCTTTTAAACATTATACATAATCACAGTCGAGAGTATAATGATCATGGCATAAAACAACACATTAAACCGCTTGGCAAGTAGTCGATTGCAGTGTGACAATTTGAAATCATGACAAAAACTTTGTAAACAACCTTTTTTAAATCATCAGATAGTTAGGCAACACAATTTTTTTGTGCCCTATTATGTTATTAAAATTCATAGTAAGTAACCATAATGTAAGCAGTGAAATATGCACACTAAAGACTAAACAAGTGATGTAAAAAAATAAAAGAAAAACATAAAAGACGTAGAAACGTAAAATCTCACATTGCATTTTTGATAAGTATTTAAATTCCAGAAACAATTTAATCCATACAATGTACCTAATTTTCAGACAGATTCTATGCTTTATATATTAACTCCCCAATGAAAATAAATAGAGATATCATATAACCTAAAACAAGAATTAAAAATAACCGTACATATTGTCTCCTAGTTTTAATGACTTGAGGTGGTTGTTGTCACGGAATTTGCACTGCACCCTCTCAAAGTGCTTTATATCATCCAAATACTTATCTATTAAACCAGCTGAGGCCACAAGTAATAAAAATTTATTAAAGCGATCAAGTATAGTAAGTAATAATATATTTTACTACATTCACACAACCCCATCTAGTCCCAAACTAATCAGAGCTTGTACTATTGGGTACTATTATAACCCGGCAATGTCGTGCGCGACCGTCCCGCGGGGTGACAGACAGTGG